AACATTGCAAATCCACCACCACCACCACCTCTTGCTTCAAGACCATGTACCAACAGTCCAAGGCATAATGCTCAGTTTGCGCGCAACGCCCACAATGGGAGGCATTCTGAGATAAAAACTGGAATTCTTGCGTTTTTATATCAAAATCCTTTTACCGATATGAATCACAAGGATCGTTCACACCTCACCAAATTCTATGAAATCGCTGGTGCAACGGGAGCACCTGAAGCTGAAGAGGAATCCTGTAATAGACTATTTTCGCATACCCTAATCGGGAAGGTTAAGGAATGGTATCTTGATCAATCAAATTTGGTAATGATGGAATGATATGTTTTGGAAGAAAAGTTTTTTGAACGGTTTTTTCCGCACAATAGATTCATGAAAGCGAAGACGACTATATCGGTGTTTGCTCAAGGTGGCAAAGAAACTCTCAATGAAGATTGGGAAAGATTCAAATCCATGTTACAAAAATGAAAAGGACACGATTTTAACGAATTAACTTAAGTGCACATCTTCCGAAATGGACTCTAATCGGTTCACAAGACTTTGTCGGATGCTACTTGTCGCTACACGAAAAATGACACAGAGTCGCCACCGGATTTTATTTATCCCAAGGAGGGAAAGGGAAATAGCGATAAAACCTTTAGGAAAGAGCATGGTCATCACAACCAAGTCTTAGGGTTCGGGAGTCGGTTATGCGAGGGGAAGGTATTAGCATCCCCTCGCATCCATCGTACTCAATGGGAACCTTCTAGGTTGTTTAGCGTGAATGGGTGTTTTTATTAAAAGTGTGCTTGCTTAAAAGAAAAGAGGGGTTGGTTTTATATTTTAATGCTCGCCAAGGATTGTGGCCCTTGTGCCTACGTATCCTCACTTAAAAGAAGTGAAGAATCAGAGCTCCGAAGTTTGGAGGCTTGTGAAATAGTTGTTTGTTGGTTGATTTTATACCTTGAAAAAGGGTTTTCGGATTGATGCCCTAAGGCGAAAAGAAGTTTGATGAGTTGATGTTATTTTTAGGTTTTTGAAGAAAAATTGTCCTTGATTAGGATTACACAAAAGACTTTGGATAGAGATGAATGTTTCAAATAACCAAGTCGAGCGCCTTGTATTCAAAACATTCGGAACGAGTGTAAGAGGGTTCCACTCTCATTCCTTTTCCACCACTTTAAAGTTCATGGCGTATAACCCCAATCGTATATTTATTGTGTTTTGGATTTTTTTATGAGAAAAGTATACTTAAAACTCCTTGTGGGTTTGACATCCTTACTATTCTGTCACTTGTTACATAAAACATATGTGTATACTTGCATGTGACATCACACATTTTCAACCAACAATATTTTTCCCGAGAGGCTCCACTGAAAATTCCTCCCTTTGAAGCGTACCATCTGAGTTTGATATAAAGAGAAAAGATATCGTTAAAGCGTTTCCCACATACGATGCAAATGAATTTGTCTAAACCCGAGGTATTTACTATAAGAGTGATACATTGAGATTTAATGGTGTGTTCCGATTTGGTATTGTAGCGTTGATATTCTGATTCGACATTTAGTGGTGGTGGGAAAAGGGGGATACATGCAAACATTTGATGGTTGTGTTAGTTACTATCGAAAATGATATGTATGTTAGGGTTAAAAATTGTGTACTTGAATTCTCAGGCATGCGTTAGGCTTTATAGTCCCCTTTTAGGGAGCCCTTGGAATCTTCTATTTTAGGACACTGTCCATGGGCGGTTGGGGTCTGTTGATCTTTCGCCTTAATTTAACTACCTTTAACATCCAAGGGTTGGTTTTGGACCTTCTTCATCATGGTTTGATGTTCTAGTTGGTCTATCAAAGGGCGTCACAGGCTCAGACATGATTAGTCAAAACTTCTTCACCATGGTTTGATGTTCTAGTTGGTCTATCAAAGGGCGTTAGAGGCTCAGACATGATTAGTTAACCTTTGCTAAAGTACTAAATTAAGAATTTAAAGAAATAAAAGACATTTCTTGTATAGGATTTAAGTAAAACATTTAATTGTCAAATTTTATATGCATTTGATTGATTTTGACACTGCATGAGTCTATGCATGTTTGAGAAAGATTCACATATTCAACTTATTTTGATTCGACTAACCTTAATTCAATTGTTTATCATTCTCACCTAATAACATAATTTATTACTTTTAAGTATAAATAAATTAATAAAAAAATATTCTAGTTACCTTCCAAAATGACCAACATAACCTTAAATAAAAATTAATCTCAAATATCATCTTAATTAATTTAAAGATCAGAGCTTTTCTATCCTTCGTGATATCCTCCTCTCATAGTTGATGAATATAGGATTAAATTAATTAATTCAGAAATCATAGCTCCATCACAATCAAATATATTACTGATATTTGAATTATAATGATAAATGTCACTCCCTAATTGGCATTAATTAAAAAATAGTTAAATATATTTTAAAGAGTATATTTTTAAAATAGAATTTTATAAAAACAAATGAATCTACGTTTTATATATATATATATATATATATATATATATATATATATATATATATATATATATATATATATATATATATATATATATATATATATATATATATATATATATATATATATATATATATATATATATATATATATTATAGATTAGTAGTTAGAAATTTGAAAAAATAAAAAGCTGTTACAAGTATAAATCATATATTTTTAGTATTAAAGAAAAAGTGTAAATCATATCTTAATTGTTGCCAACACATGCCAACTTGATTCAATAATCATTTAAGCCACCTTACTGGCTGATCTAAAAGACTTGTATTTCTCCATATCAACATCCAATCCAATTCAGAACATGGTTGTGATCTGTTATAGGTCACAAATCAACAATAAAAAAAAAAGAAGCTTTAATTTCAAACTCAGAGCCAGCCATGTACTATTGTACAACCAAATGTGTCCAATTAGTTTATTTCATATGGTTGTGTTGTTCTACATTTGCTTACTTAAACATGGTGGTCCCTTGCAACCGTGTCACAAAAAATATAGGTATAGTCTTGTTAAGTACTAGTGTTGCTTTCACACTTTAGGTTTAGCTATTCCCACTATCTCATGATTACCGAAGAAAAACATGGGAATGATGTGATGTTTATTTTGAATACCATATAGTAGAAAATCATACTCCATGTCCTAATCCTTTAACATTGGTCCCATGCCCCCACCCCACAATGGGTTCGAATTTTCCCATGTCTATCGGAAACCTTTTGAAATTCTAAAGTGTTTGCATTCTAAAATCCGAACGTCATGCCAATCCAGTAAATCAACGTTGAACTTAAATACTTTATTAAATTAGACCAAATTCAACAATATCAATAACGACAATGCATCAAAACGTTAACTAAACACAAACAAAATCATGAAAGAGATAAAGTAGTTTCTTCATTGGCTTGAACCATGCACAGAATAATTTTATCAAATCATTTCGTCTCAATTTCCTAATATGTTATAAATGTTTATATTCTATTTAAACTAATGTTGGGTCTTCTGGTTACAACACCAAACTTCAATTTTTAAACCTTCGTGCATAACAATTGTAGCATATGTTCGCAAACCATAAATTCTAATTTATTTATAAATTGTGCACAAATATCTATCTCGACAACAACCGGTCGAACACTCAGATTAACACTATCCAATTTGACATCATCATTCACTTCATCCGGTTTAATGTCATGATTTACCATTTTGTCCGGCTTAACATTCATTCTCACAATATCTTTGAAAAAAATATTTGGGTGCACTATATCTAATACCACAAATAATAAAAAAACAGATTTAAAATTCAAAGTATCCGACAAATTCGGAGATGCATATCCGGACCACATCAAACTTTATCTGGAGATGGTTATCCAAACTCAACGTTGTTTTTTCCAGATCGAAAAACAGATTAATGCAAGCAATGAGAGATAGCACGAATGACCTTTACCTTCAATTTCAGTTTTTTTTTGCTTTCTTTGATGTGATGAAGTACGAGAATGATGTTTTGATATTGAAAAGTTGATTGAGAATGAGAGAAAGTTTTTAAAGGTTTTGAAAAATAAAGTTTATTTTTAGCATGAAGATGAAGATCATGCAATGTGGTGTTTTATCCAATTTTCGCTTGACATTTTCAGATATGCATCTTCAAAAATATCTGAATTGTTAATTAAATCAATTTAGTGAATAAAAACACCATTATTGAGTACAAGAGAGTATTTCAAAGATGCATCTCTGAATACATCTAAATAATATACAGAGATCTTCGGACTGTATTTTGTTCAATATGAGGTGGATCTCAGAAAAATAAAATTTATTGTTAATTTGGGTGCGAAAATGCATCTTCAAACGCATGAAAAACATTTTTGAATTTCCAAATATATGGGTGGAATGAACACCCCCAACTTTAAAAAACTAATAATTGTATAGTTAAAATCTTCCTTTCGAACAATTACTATAATTCAGCACATTCAAAAAAAAATATGACCGGTGAAAAATACTACTTCTAATCCTATTTGTAAGAAAAATTTTGTTTTTTAGATTTATTTAATAACTAATGATGTATTTGTTCTATATTTTTGTTTAGATATTGTATTTATTCAATGAATCTAGAAGACAAATTTTTTTTTTATTATTGGATTATTGTGTAAAATTGGTTTAATTTGTATTTTTTTCAAGCAAGGTTTTTCCATTATGGGAAATCCTTACACCCATACACCTTGTCTACACCAACAAAACCGAAGGACGGAGACATTTGCAATCTTGCATCAAATGTACAAAGTTATATTTATTCAACCATTATAAACATGAAAATTTCTCACAGAAACTAATGTAATAACATATGATCTCATCATTTAATTCATAGACTAATAACTAATAACAAACCACACTAAATCAACCATTAATGATAAAGCTACTAAATTTTAACTTGTAGTTCTATATGTACTCGGATTTTGGGATTATTTTACTAAAATGTTACATTACACAGTTCTTAATACAATGGGAGTATCTATGGTTGAGGATGAAGAAGGTGTGCCAAGAAAGCTAACTGTTTTGCGAGAATCACTGGTTGTAGATGTATCTCTAGTTGTATCTGAATCTGTCATCACAGAACAAATGTTTTCAAGTATTCTAACCACTTCTGCCATTTTAGGACGTGGCTCTGGCTCATCTTCAGAACACTTCAGAGCCAAATTTAAAAACTTTTCTGCATGCTCAAATGGATAAGACCCCATGTGTTTATCAATAACTGAAGTTATCTCACCCGATTCGAAAGCAATATTAACCTGAAAAGGATTTAGAAGTGTTATCGACCCAATTCAAATTCTAAGATGGTAAGAGTGCCACTCTGGTCATGCTTTAGATGGCATTGCATTTAACATCTCAAGAGATAGGAAACAAAGTCTAGTGGGAACCAAATACCTCTCTGACAATATTTTTCCCATGTGCAATGGGGTGCATCCCAGTCAAAAGTTCTAGAAACACAACACCGAGACTGTAAACATCACTCTTGTCGGTCAATGTGTGAGTTAAGAAATACTCTGGATCAAGGTAACCCTGCATATGTAAAACAGTTAAAAACAATAAAGACACAAACAAGTTTATCAAATAAATAAAATTTAACCCTCCATGAAATCCACTCTTTTTTGTACCAACATAAGAAAAGCCAAATCTACTTATGAAGGTCTTACCGGTGTTCCCTTTACCACTGTGGATACATGACCAGGTACAATTCCTTGAACATCTGAAACTGGGGCTAGCCGTGAAAGTCCAAAATCTGCAACTTTTGCAGTGAACTTAGAGTCTAATAATATGTTGCTTGACTTAACATCTCGGTGAAATATTGGAGGATCAGCTTCTGTGTGTAGATACATGAGACCTTTAGCTGACTCGAGTGCTATCTTCAATCTCATAGCAAAATTCAAAGGTTTTTCTGATGTAACTGTAATAAAACATTAAGGACATTGTGAAAGGAAACAAGGAAATAACAATTCTAAATATCATTGTCTATGTCTATTAAAAAATGACAAGATCTGTAAAGAGTTTATAAAGAGTGGAATCTTCCACTTTACAAGTCAATTTTATAAAGATGGATTGGGTTAGGTCCAATAAAAGGTATAACTCACAAACTATTGATTCGGGCCACCCACCATATTTCAGTTTTGTTAAGAGTTTTATCAAAAGTGACACCTCTATGGTAATATCTCAAGTGCAAAAAGGTCTAGTATGAGAATGTGTGTTAGAGATATACAATAAATCCGTTCATTTGTATTTTGGGAAAGCTAGTTGATGAAACAAACTTCGTTGTTACTTATTACTAATCGGTAAAATATAATGGAGACCAAAAAATTACAAGACCCGGTAAAATATAATGGAGACCAAAAAATTACAAGACCGATTCAGTAAATTAGAAAAGTGGAACACATGATGTACCAGAAAGGTTGTCCCTTAGAGTGCCATTGGACATAAATTCATAAACCAGCATCTGCAATCACAAAGAAACAGTCCATATGGTATAAATACAACACAGTAAGAGAAAGAAATGAGATAGTGAGTTTATTGCACCAAATTTGAAAGAAGATAAAAAGAAAGTATTTAGTATTGAAAATTTGAAATATCAAGCAAACCATTTGATGAAATTTCTGAATTTTGAAATGAAGTGTACCTGTTCCCCTTCTTCATCACAGTATCCAATCAGAGATACAAGGTTGCGATGATGTATCCTTGATAGTAGTCTTATTTCAGTGAGAAATTCCTTCTCACCTTGCAGTGATCCTTGCTGTGCACGTTTTATGGCAACCACAGTGCCATTGGAAAGAATACCTTTATAAACCTTCCCATACCCTCCTTGTCCAATTTGAGCATTGTTGTCAAAATTGTTTGTAGCAGCGGACAACTCCTCATAAGTAAAAGCTCTTGTGCCATCTATTTGTATTGAGATCTTAGATGCTGTGAATAAACACAAATCTATATTAATATACTTTAATTCTTTAAAAAACAGATGGTGTTTGTAACATTAAATTCATGGATTCCTTTAACATCGGTCTTTAGCTATGAAACATTAACACAGACACAACAATGACAATGATACATCTATAAAGTAATAATTTGAAAAAATAGAAACGATCGAATATAACCACATGTGTCAGTGTTATATTGGTCTCGGAAATGTTGGTGCTACATAGGTGCTTAAAGCTTATGGAAAAAGTTTTCATTAGGGAAATATATCAAAGAAACATACATTGCATGCAATTATTTTAGTAAGCCAGTATGCTAATGAAGGTTTGTGTGAAAACATTAAGACTACTGAAACAAAGAATTTGACTCATAGTAAGAAGAAACTCACAATGGCGTGGTTTGGAAACTGCATCATGACGTCTTAATCTTATTCTTAATACTAAAAGAATAAAAATTGCAGACAACGAAATTACACACGCAATTGAGCCTAAAATTATGCCAACCAAAGCACCCGTGCTTATGCCTGAATTGGAAGAGGTCCCAGTCCCTACAATAACATTCAGAAGTATGAAGACAATCATATGAAAGTTATTCCCAATTTTACAGGGTTAAGTTACTCCCAAAACTTACTGTTATTATAAGGAACCAGGTCCATCAGGTCATATGGCCCAAACAAATCACGGTTAGGAATGACCCATCCAGTGAACATGTTTCTGATCCGTTGGATTTCACTTGAATTGAAAGTGCGAGAGCTATTGTTATCAACATATTCAGGAAAAAACTTCAAGATCATTAGCACCCGTGGTCCTACTTGCCACTCAAAAGTATAGCTTAGTTGATTGGCATGTAGCTTAAGATTAGAAGTCAAATATTCCTCAAATGCATTGAAATATGGAGGAAAGTATGAAAAACCGGGACTTCTCAATCGATAACCAATAATCAATGGAGCCACACAGAAACAATTCACGTAGAATTCATAAGGAGGTGGACATTTTTGATTTGGACAAGGGTTACTGGAGTTTTTTGGAGATGTGCCATTTGTTTCACTACCAGCTCCTTCAAGTTTACAGAACTGATTCAATGTGTTATCTGAGCACAGGGGATTCCCATCAAGCCTGAAATACGGTTATTTTGATAAGAGTGATGTTATTTGGACATCAAAAAATTGACTTTGTATTTCGGCACGTATAAAATTATACTATTTATAACCGCTGATGTGAATGGAAGCGACGGGTAAAAAGTAATAAGAATAGCAACACCACTTCCAGACTGTTATATACTGTTTTGGAAAACATATGTTTATAGCATTTTTTTTTTCATAAACCAACATGGGAAGCTACTTTATGAGCAACGTATGTGCTAAATCTAATATTCAACTCTTTACCTTTACAAAATGACACTAATCTATTAAACATGCATAGCAATTAGACAAAAAAAGAAGTCAAAGTCTATTTTCTATTACTAAGATTTCGGTATGAACTCCACAAAAAAAGTTTAGAGAATCTTACAAGAGTGTGACATTTGGAGGAAGATTAGTACTGCCTGTTATGTTTATAAATTGATTGGTTTGCAACTCTCTGCAAGAATAGAAACCAAGGGTCAGACAATCAAATGCGTAAGGCTAATACTCACTACTAGCATCCATGGCAAGGGAAATACTAATGAGTCAACTATATCATGCCATACCTACTTAACTAAACACAAACAACTATTTAGATACATGAACATCGATATTAAGGCTGCGTTTATGCTACTACATATTGCTTAATAAAAAACAAACAAGCATTACCCATACACACTAAAATATACATCTCTAGCTAGAATAGAAACACTATAGAGATCTTACAGTAGCAATCTTTTATCAGCATTTGAAATCTTGTTCTGCCAAATGCTGGAAGGAACACTTCCACTCAATAAATTGTTTGCAAGCGACCTAACAAAAAGAATGATATAAGTAAAAAAGCTATTTATTTTGTAACATGATTGATTTCAATAAGATATATAAAATAATGAGACGTAAGATGTTAATATAATATCTTACTAGTTCGTAATACATGGTAAGAAATTCAACATATTTTGTGTTAAATAGGGTTATATTATTATAGTAACTCTTTTTGGCTTATATACAATGCAGAAAGGATGCAACTTACAATTTCTGGAGTCGTGGAAGATCAGAAAAATAGGATGGAATAGTTCCAGTAAGATTGTTGTTTGACAAAATACTGCACATAACCCCAGAGGTCAAAAAATTAAAAGTAGATTAATCTTGAGAAATAAACACCTATGTGGAGAATATTGACATGGTATCCAAATATATTAAAATGCCAAAACAATCGATATAGAACCATTTTATTTGAATGACAGAGATAGATTCTTACACAGTTGTGATATTTTCAGCAAGCTTATTAGGAGGAATTGATTCATTCAACTGATTGGAACTAAGGTCACTGGAAATTCGACAGTAATTAGTGGTTGATAAATGCAATTAGAGTTCACATTAGACTTTATTTCAAAAATATACATAAAAAACTTTCACTTTGTCAGAAATGATCACTTCTCTTAACGTAGAACTTACATATAAAGAAGGTGTGGTATTAAGCTTAAATCAGGAATTGGTCCACGCAAGTTGCAATTCCTAAGGCTCCTGGAAGTACAAAGAAACAAACAACATTGACTCCAAAACTTTATCCTAATCATATAGACATTAGTATCTCAAATTGATACTTCACAGTTCACGCCTTAAAAATTAAGATAAATGGTCTAGAATAGAACTTTAGATTCATTCCTTCAACTGGAAAAAGCATGCAAAATCTCTTTATTGACAAGGGATTACAAAATTGACTTACAATTTGACCAATTTTGACATGTTGACGTAAGAATCTGGAATGCTATTTCCTCCAAAGTTATTGTTGTCAAGTTGTCTGCAAGAAAAAGAAAGTCCAAACCAACACTTTAAAAATCTAATTGTACTATCTGAAATAATCAATTCACTCAAAAACATAAGCTAATTAAGCACGCTTATCAGAAAAGTGCTTATATATAGGTATATCTATAACATAAGCTAAAATAAAGTAAAATCATTTTCGTAAACTCTCATAAATAATCTAAAGAAGTGCTTATGTGAGTAAACAAGCTTATATGATTGAAATTGGAATCATAATGATGAGAATATTTTTATACAGAATTCTAGCCGTTATTGCCGTCGCTCTCCTTCAATTTCATCCGGAGCATGAAAGACAAGCGTGACAAAGAATCAACACAAATAGACGATGTTGCATTCCTTGACAAATCTTTCCACTTCGGTGCAGAAGGAATAGAAAGAAAATGCTTCGGAGAAATGAGATTTCCAAGGCTTGTGGATGTTATTCGGTTATCTTCCGTCGGCGACATGGTGCTGGCGGTGAAAGCGACGGTCGGGGTGAACTCCGAACCTAGCTTCCGTCTCTACTTAATTTGGATTTCGGTTCAGGTGCAAATTTTGTAAATTCAAAAAGTTGAAGGGTTTATAATAAATAATCCTCTTTAAAAGTCTATTTCAAAGTTTAATGTAATAATGATGGTAGTAATTACTATTATCAAAATTATCAAAATTAATTTTTTTGAATTAAAGTCCGTAGTATTATCAAAATTATCTATAATTTCTTTTTATTGATAGAAAAAAAATTTAAATAAGTTACTAAAAAGTTAAGAGTAGTAAAAGAAATATCATTAATTAAAAAATAATAATAATTAGGGCTGGAAAAACTATGTTGGAAAAAGAAATGAAAAAATTAATTATTAACTTTTAATTATAATATTGGATAATTTTTAAGACAAAATTTCTACATGTAACTCTTAATTTGTATCTTGATACGTGTTAAGAAAAATAACATTTACAAAAGAATGAAGTATTCTTATTGTGCAAATATATACACTTATTATTACATTTTATTGTTCTTCAATACGATTACCAATGATATATTATATTTTTTTTTAATATGAAAAAATTAGTATTTAAATTTTTTTATTTTAAATTAAAGGACACTGATAAAAAAAATTATTTAATTAATCAATTTTATAATTTTATTAACTTTATATTTTATTAATCAATTTTTTTTATTGATAAAAATTAATTTTAATATCTGAACGTTTATTAACTAATTTTGTAATTTTATTAATTAACTTTATATTATTAAAAAAATATTTTTTTTTATATTTATATGTTTATTAACCAACTTCATCATTTTATTTACCAACTTTTTATATTTTATTAACTAATTTTATTTTCCTATTTAAAATTATTGTTCAAGTATTGTCGACGACATTGTTTACGCATTACGTACTATTTATATTATTATTTATAAGTATATTTTTTATTTTAAAATAACATTATTCATAACATAAAAACAATAAATAGTGTATATGATAATATGAGTTTAGGAATATAATTCCATTTTTCTATAAATAGATTGCAAGGTGGGCCAATAATACTACTCTTTCCTCTACCTTTATTTCCCTTTTCCTAAATTATGTAAACATGTTACTTTTTAATTCTCATATTTTGCTCAGTGAAATTTTCACATTTTATTATTTTTATTTATTAGTCATTTTCAAAAATAAAAAAATGTTGTAATTGAATAATGGTGAGAATTTCGCCTCCTTAAAATGAATAAATGGTGTATTACAGTTAAAATTTGCACCAAAAATTTAATACGTTTGAATAACTATTAACTAAACTGATTTAATTTACCGTATATATTAAACAAAATAAAAAACCTTACAGTATACTCAAGTTTGGCGTATCAGATAGCTCAGGTGGAAGAATTCCAGATAAATTATTGTTCTCCAGAAGCCTACAAATCAAGAGAAACATCTTGTGAACAAGGCAGCATAATGTAAGCAATTATACTAACAATAATCAAACACCAACTTACAAGTGAATAAGGCTTGGTAATTTGGAAAGTTCTGGTGGGATTTGCCCACTAAGTGAGTTATTGTTCATGTGACTAATCCAATATTAATGAAAAGATAATAAAACATTAAATATTTATATTAATAATGATAATAAAGATAGAGAAATATAAATAGCAACCATTTTGAAAAAAGAAAAAAAAATTTACAAGTGTTTTGTTTTGTTCAAATTTGCAAATGATAAAGGTATAGGTCCTGATAATTTGTTTTCATCAATTTGCACAATACGTAGATTTGGAAGAAACCCTAGTTGCTCTGGCACTGCTCCTGTTAATTCATTCCCACTCAGAAACCTGCACAACAAAAATATATCTTTTATGTTAAAACACCACTCTTTTATTTATGCAACCATTTGAATTTGTTATATATATGGTAAAAAGAATTGAAGGCTCAGCTTACAAAAGTTCCAAAGATTTGATATTGCCAATTTCAACTGGAATTGTCCCACTTATGTTGTTCCACATGAAATTCCTTTAAAATTAAGGGAGAGTTATGTATATTAAAGGAAAAATGAAATTAAAAATTGCAAAATCATAAATAAATAAATAAAAATTAATAAGTCAACTGTCGTTCGAGCATACAAAATGGACTATTGCACAGTGTCTAAAATTTGACACGGTTAAACCATAACAAAATAGAATCCTTATATATTGTTACATTAAAACTGCGACTAATCTATACCGTCTGTGAAAACTTAAAACAACTCTGATCAAGAGGTATGTCATTGTCAGTCTTACAATATTTTCAAATAAGCCAGGTTGCCAATATCTGGTGCCAAAGTTCCAGACAAGTTGAATTTCAGTAGTTCCCTACAGTCAAGGTATGTTATGTTACTCATCAAAATATGTAGAAAAAATCATCACAATAATAAGAGTATGTGTTATGAACTTTTTGGCTTAAAGATATAGAAGTCATACAATTCAACAACATGTAGAAAGTTTTCCTCTATTGTTTCATTAGAGCACACAACTCCTGTCCAGTTAGACAGACATGGATCATCATCGTTCCAATTGCTCAAATGTCCATTTGGATCAATCAAACTTTCATGTATGCTCCTCAATGCCATCACTATCAAATACCAATTCAATTCAAAGTATATCATATCATCAATAGAATCAACAAACATTAAGCTTTATATGTAAAATGAAGTTAGTCGAAACACAGACAGACCTTCCGTAGGGTCAGTGACATTGATAAGTTGCGCAGAAGCCGGTACGAAACAGCAGAAAAACCATAAGATGATGAAAACAACTTCATGCTTGTAACAACACTTTGAAAGACACATCCTAGTGAAGTAGAAGAAATCACCAAAACTCTTAATTAATTTGAAGCAAATATCATAATCTAAAGCTAAGGGTATTAATATTGTCTCTCTCTTTTAATGAGTCGCCTAAGCAATGTAGTAGAAAATGTTGTAGTTGACAAGGTAAATTAAACCATCTCTTTCAAAGCTGCAACTTTGCATCAGATACATTAAAAAAATATTGAGAAAACAAAAATTAAGGAGTTGTTGATCACAATTGGTGTTAGCTAGTTTGACTTTATGCCAATGAGATATCCATTAATTAAGTTTGTAAATTACATGCACAATTCATCAAAATTATATCAAAATATATGTTACAATTTGTAATTTATAAAGATCATATGATTTTTTTAATCTTTTATGTAAGATTGTGATCAAATTGTTATCAATGAGGGTTTAATTATTATACTTAATGATCAAAATGTTATTTATATTATGTGTAAATGTTTTATTGGGTCTATTGCATAGAGAAGCCATGAATTTAAAGTATCATGGAGAAATTATTTTTCTTAATCGGTCGGTTTTTATCAAAGACAAATTATTGGTTAACGAGGTGGTGGCAGTGAACAAGTTGGTTGATCTGGAGAAAAAAAACAAAACAACAAAAAAAACGTGTTATTTTTAAAATGAATTTTGAAAAGGTGTACAACTCTTTGAGATTGAATTTTTTGAAATACATGCTTTTCAGATTTGGTTTTTGTGTGAAGTGGCGTGCTTGAATGTGTGTTTATGTTTTCTCTAGGAATGTAGCAGTCTTAGTCAATAACTTAGTCAATGAATACACCACCCAAAATATAAACATTTAGAGAGGACTTAAACAAAGTGATTTGTTGGCCCCTTATTATTCCTCCTGGTTAATGAGTGTTTTGGTGGTCTTTTAGAACGTGTGTTGAGATTGGTCTCTTTTATGGGCTCAAGGTTGGAAATTTTAACTTATTAGTGTCTCGTCTTCAGTGTGTGAATGATACTCTGATTTTATGAGAGGCTTCAATTAATAGTCTTTGGACTATTAAAACTATCCTATGGTGTTTGAAAATGCTTCTAGGCTTAAGGTGCATTTCGCTAAGAATGACTTGATTGGCAATCAATATTCGAGTTTGCTTTTTATGCTTATGCGAAAAGGTATCTTGCAATGCAAATATAAATCTCTATCATTCAAGTATCTTGGGCTCCTGGTTAGTGTAAACATTCATAAAGAGTTTATTTGAAAACTTCTTCTCAAGATTATTTCTGACAAGTTTTCTTTCAGAGTAATAAATATGTCAATTTGGGTAGTAAGGTGATTTTGTTAAATTGTTTTACTTATTCTATTTCTATTTTCTTCCTCTCATTTCTAAAAATGCTAGTGAAGTTTGGAAAATTCTGGTGAGAGTTCAAAGACATTTTCTTTAGGGAGGAACAAAAGGTACAAAAAATATTTTATAGGTATTTTGGTCGAATGTGTGTAAGTCGAAGAGTGCTGTACTGTTATAGGTTAAGGACTTGTTTCTAATCAATCCAATGTTCCTAGAAAAATGGTGATGGAGATTGTTTCATGGGGCGTGTGTGTTTGGTTTGATATTATTTTTGCTTGATATGGATCTATTGTGATTTTATCTCCCACTAAGGGTAAATCAGTAGGTTTCAAATCGTCTTCTACTTTATAGAAAAGAATCTCCCTGATTGGATCAATTCTCCTTAAGTGTTTAGATTACTTTGTATAGGTTTTGTTTATAAAGATGAGAAATGGTCTCATTACCTCTTTTTAGAAAAGTCATTGGATAGGTCATATTCCTTTATGTGTGTGCATGCATTTCAAGTAACGTATTGGTAATGTTGAAAATTTGTGTCATTTGGTGAATGATGTATGGGTTCGGTATTTATTGTGGAGGAGTGATTTGTTTGTTTGGAAGAGTGAGCTTCTGAGTAGCTTGCTTTTAGTTATAGATGGTTTTAGATGCTCTTTTGAGGAAGATGTTTTGATGTTGGTTAAATGATGAAGATATTTTATACTTTATTAAGGCAATATACTCTTCTCTAATTTACTCAATTTTACTTTCAGCCTTGGTCAGGTCTTGCCCTTTATTTAAAAAACATAGGTTCATTTAAGGTTGTTGTCTTCTCGTGGTTTTTATTGAGAGATAGGATCTCCCTAAGAAATAATTTGTTTAAACATTATGTGACTGTGGAATCAAAAGAGCTTTTATGTGTGTAATATCTTGATTTTAAAGAGACTTTCTCACACATTTTTATTACTTGCAAGGTAGGGATATCTCCTTGATATAAAATATTTAAGTACACAAAGTAGGCTAGAAATTCTTTTAGATTTTTTCTTTTTGATGACCTTTTGAAGGTCCCTTTGTAATGCTTTTTTTTATTAATATATGAGACATTATTTTTTTTTTTAAAAGTTGGTGATAAGAAGTTAGAGTAACTTTTTGAGTTAGTGAAGTCCCTTGGATCCATGTCTAGAGTTTTTGATTTTAATTTGGTCTATCATTTTGTAGAGTGAATCCTATGAAAATCTCTAAATATTATCAAATTTTCACACGTGACATCAACCTTTGTGGAGTTGGTTGATAGCATTATTTTTAGTTTTGACATCTATCTATTTTCTGTCTTAATCGTCACTTATTTTGAGAATTCGTCTATTTTGTGATGTGAGGTTTATTTTGGAGTTATTATTCTCTTTGTTGTGTATTTGAAATTTTTAAGTGCCCTTTCTTCAATTGACTCTTGCAAGCTTGTTGATATTTTTATTATTTTATTATTTTTCTTTGTTTCTTTACTTTTTCTTTTGTCTATTTTTTTTTTTATAGTTTTTCCTATGATCATTGTTGTAATTTTCATATAGTTATGTAATTGTGATCTTTTATATATATATATATATATATATATATATATATATATATATATATATATATATATATATATATATATATATATATATATATATATATATATATATATATATATATATATATATATATATATATATATATATATATATATATATATATATATATATATATATACATATACATATATATATATATATATATATATATATATATATATACATATACATATATATATATATATATATATATATATATACATATATATATATATATATATATATATATATATATATATATATATATATACATATACATATATATATATATATATATATATATATATATATATATATATATATATATATATATATATATATATATATATATATATATATATATATATATATATATATATATATATATATATATATATATATATATATATATATAAAGACATATATTTCTATCAAAAATTTTAAGTAAAAGTATATCTAAGAGATATTTTTGTGATTGTATGAAATTTAAAAATTATAATAGCAACACTTGATTAAATTAATGAAAAAATAAAAAAAATAATAAATGAAATATTAGCTTAAGATTTCTATTATTGCTTTGTGGTTGTTATTGAATCGTATTTCGATGAAGGATAATTTAATTAGGCTATAGATTATTGTTGTGAACGAATAAAAAGTGTAATAAATTGTGGTTTGGATAAAAACAGACATCATTTATTTGTAAAATAAAATTTATTTGGTTGACTGTGGCCTATTATATTTTATTAGTTAGATTTCTCAAAGGTAACTCAAAAAAAATTTTGGTTCATCTCTAATATTTTAGTGGATTATAAAGTTTTTCGAAAAATGTTTGGTTGTCTCTTAATACTATTTTATTTATTAGTGGAATATTTTTACGTTCACACGAGTATTGATATGGTATACATATTTTTTATAAAATATAATAAAAATGATATTAAAAAAATGAAATTGTTCAACTAAAAAAATTATTATTTTTAAAAGATATCATAAATTAGTGCCTATAATTCGTTCCATATATAAAAATATTTGAATCAACCATACACTATTATTTATATAAATATTATTTTTGTTTTGATATTATTTACAAAAAAAATACTAGAACCAATAGTAAACTTTTTCTCATTATTATTTAATATTTTGATCAGTAACTTCATGTTTTTGTTAGAATTATTTTAGTGTTTTAATAATGTTATTCCCGCTTATAAGAATAATATTTTTTTCATAAACCTTTTCACATATTTAAAAAAATGATCGATAAATTAATATTATTTTAATATTTGGAACAATTAAAGTTGTTCCTGTTTATAACAATAATATTTTTTTTTTCCATATATATAAATAAACTAATCAATAATATATTGTTTTCCGTATATAAATATTAATTTTGAAATGTCATTACTTATATATTTGAATCAACAATGAATTCTTACCCGTAAGTAAATATTATTTTGTTAATGACATACACTTTTATTTATATTTTATAATTTTTTTTAATTAAAAATTTAGGATTTCTTTAAACTAAAAATATTATTTGGAGGATGTCATAGTTACACACTAAAAATAAACATTCCATTTTATTATTTACCCGAAATAACTATGTTTTATATTTATTTTTAAAAAACAAATATTTTTAGTATTTTTTAATATTTATCAATGACAAAAATATGTCCCATAATTTATTTATTTTTTGTATTTTTTTAATACAAATGTAATAGTTATTATTAAAAGAAATAATGATAAATTTTTTAAAGAGTACTAAAATTTATCAATATTGTAATAAAAGACATATTTAATAATCTTAATATAATTAAAAAATTGTTATATATATAATTATATATAACCATAGAATTGTTTTTTTGTCTCTAACTAATTTTATTCAAATGAACTTATCTAACAAATTCTTTTGAAAAATATACACAAAGAAAATGTGATTATTATTATTAATATTATTGAGAATTCAGATGATAATGTAGAGAAGGTTGAAGCATTTGAATCTGAGAATGGGAGGGGAAATGCATTAGGCACAAAGAAAGATATGGATGATGATGTTGATGGAAGTAGTTTGATATGACACAGACTCCGACTCGAGTGTCTGCTTTGCGCAACC